AGGAACGTTTTCAGATCCAAGTAAAACACTGCGGGATCGTCAGTAATGCGGACTTTAGGGTCGAAGACAAAGACTGGCTCTGTATGCGTTTACGCAGTAGGCGTTCAACAGGATAACCTAGATTGCCGGGAAGAAGACTGACGACTGCTCTGTGCATTGTAGTTTCTAGTCGCAGCCAGACAGTCCGTTACAGAGCAAAAGGCAACCAATAATCGCGAGGTATTACCAACGGTACAATGTCCGTAACACTGTTCTGCTTACAATACCGTTTTGAGGTATGCTAACTTAAAGAAAAATACCACAATGCAGTTCTGCCGCGAAGACGGGTCAGTGCGTTGGTTGCTATCCACTCGAAAAGTCCACGAGTGAGAAAGAATGAAATAGCCCTCAGCTTTTCTTTGCAACAGGCAAAGAATGAACCGATACTGGAGACGAGACCCGGCCACACATTCAAGTTCGACAAGTTCGAAATTCTCGTGAGAGGTTACAATCGCGTGAGCCGCAAACTGTTGAGTCATTGCTAACAGGCCACCGTCTATTAGTTAGTGCAACGAACTCTCCACTCCATATTCAGTGCTGAGACATAGTCTGCCGGGCAGGGAGCCCCCAGGCGAAAACTTGCTAATGAGCCAGAAATGGCCATTACGGTCTACCTTGATTTTGCCGACAATGTTTGCCTGCCTAAACTAGTTCACCTTGTTTGCGGGCTAGGCAATTTTGTTAATGCTGCATCATTTGAACTTCTTGTTGGGTCAAAAACCTTCCGGGATTTCGATATTACCGTGTCGTCTACTTTGCCTGACTTTTTACGTTAAATTCCATTTTATTAATAATCGAAAGCTAATGCGATTTCCAGTTTTATTCGACCGGAATTAGCGATCTGTTGACGCTTGCCCACCCCCACCCTGCACTATCATTGACCTCTCCTGGGGCATCTCTTCTAGTTTAGCATGGTGTCCATGAGGAATCGTCCTGCTTGGTCTTCTGACAAACGCGGATACTGTTCTAGTGAAAGAGTAAATTTAGTAGACGAAATTTGTGGGCGAGGCGGTAGAGACCACGGATAAAACACTCCACCTATCCAAATTAGTCCGTGATATCGTCGCAACAAGTCTAGACGAGGATCCACCAAGAGTTGCAGCCTGAAGCTCTCCATATTCCGTTGTATTACAGCCGACCGCCCACAGAGAACGGGCAAATTAAGTGTCAATTACGGTTGCGGTTTTATGGAGACAATGGGCCGCTTGTGAGACTTTAGAAGGGTGCGTCTCATTAATTTTGGAGGCGACATCGAGTTTGCGTCATATATTTGACGTCAAGCCAATCCCGAGGTAGGCAAAACAGGACATCTCT